TTCTTAAATAGGTATGATAATATTGGGCATTTATTAACGGCTTCATTAAATTCGATGGTTGATAATACATAATACGATCTGTTGTCTCTGAAAAAAAAATGTTGTGAGCTGAATTGTATGCTGTGCTAATTTATTAGTTGGGCCAAAGCTTTTCCATCAAGAAATCGTATAAAGCTCTGAGGATATGCTTTCGATCTAAGCTGTCATGCGCAGAAAAAGAAAAACTCTCTTGAATCAATCAAGGATTTGGCAATGTATAATGATCTGTCAGACATTTATCTAACTGTTGCCGTGAGAGCTAATGTTTGAAATTTTCTGCTTATTTCTTTCGCTGATCAGAAACTGAACGGGACTTATCCTGAGAATTTTAAAATCTACTCATTTATTATGATTAATTTTGACGATATAAATATGGTAGTTCTCTACTGTGCTTTCACTCTACATTCTGGCAGCTCATCGAAAGCAATAGTTGCTAATCCTATACAAACTAGTCGTTTTTGTTTCACATGTTATTAATTATTCTCTTGCTCACACGCTTTCAAACCTTTCTATGTAGCGCGACCACACAACATCAAAAAAGAACACGAAAGACTCCATAGTTATAAGTGAAGGTAACCGAAGAGATGAACGGAGAAACAATTTAAACTATCGGCATCATCAGGTTAATAGTTAAAGCGTTATGATAAAGGTTGCATCCTACTGAAATTCATATGATCAAATTCTTGTTTTTATTACAGCTCTGTGGTAACTAAGACTTCGTTATGGTTGTGATTAAGATTAGATTCAATCCGAGCAATCATTTCGAATCTGTCTTGAATGAGTTCGTTTATTTAATTCTGTACAAGTACCAAAATCCAAAGTTCTTGATATGAACAGAAAAGTTGCTTGCTAAAATACAGTCGATATACTAGCATTTGATCAACTTCTTATTTCTATATTGTGAGAGTGCTTCATCAAATGGTACTTGCATTTACGCGATATTTGATAAAAGTGTTAGCGAATGTTATTCACAGAAAATAGACTATCGACACAAGCAAACGTTCAAATATTAACTTAACTAATAGCATCTCGATAATGTATATTTTATATTCTAAGTAGGATGACATTAATTTTTCGAAAAACAAATCAAAAAGAAATTTGTCCATAAGTGCGCAAGTCTTTTTTGACTACTAGTTTAAACAGAGGAGCAATATGAGTCGTGCTTCTGTTTTAGTGTGAAGACACTTTTGGCACAGAGGATTATTGTGCACTTGTGAAGAGTCAAAAGTAGATTTCTTTATCTCGGAAATAGAGAAATCTGCTTTCTCGCTATTGATATTTATACACAAACGAGCTTTAAATAAAAACATTACCCCGAAAAGTACATACTCGAATAATGTCTTCGTGTTAAAGTCGACTAAAGGATTCATTTTTGCTTGACGAGTTTCGACGAGTGTTTTCGAAAACAATGAATCAAAACTGTATCGATTATGTTCGCGTAATGTAGGACACTAACATATGTGAACATTTCGAAAACAAAAAAAACGCTTTTAGTACTATTCTATTATTCTTGACTATCCTGTTTGAAAGATTCAATAACGGAGATTATTTGGTCATACAGGATATCTGAAATCAAAACTGTCCTCATGACCAATCATAAAAGAACTTGATAAAGTGTTAGAAACTTTAGTCGGTACAAGAAAAATAAATCGTTTTAGATCAGTTTTGCCTCATTCACTTTTATACATGAGATCGAATATCAAAATTGTCGCACGATCCTTGTAAAATACCGAGGATCCACAGCAACATTACAAAATTTTAATCTACAATATCTTACACCGACTTTTCCTCGTTCATCAACGATCGGTTGTGTAACTGAAGTACTGTTATATTAAATATTATAAAATTCGCTTTTAAATCTATGAAACTGGGATTCGCGCCGTAGAAGAATGAGCACTTTCTGTAACGAATGAAGATCTTATCTGTGTCTTAGTCTGTTATCTACGAAGTTGTTAACAGTGTCTAAACAGTTGCAAAGACAACATTATGTGCATTCATAGTTGAGCTACTGAAAAGCAGCCTTGCATCAAGCACTTCCACTTAATTTTATTGTGTAGTCAGGCATAACGAAACGTAAGACTTACTTGTCTTTGTTATATTCTTCTATAATACTTTTCATTACTTGAATAGCTTCTTCATAGTAACCAAATAGGAAATAATATGAATAACCCATACTCGTTCTTATTTTTCATTTTTCTTCAGATGATAACTGAAATGCAGCCTCGAATAATTTTTTTGTTTGTTCCAAACATAAATCATGTCGTTTTCTTATAGTTATTTCTTCGTCTGCGCCTATATATACACATAAAGGATCATTCTTTTCTACTGCAAATAAATCAGCCTTTAATTTAAATGTAGCAATAGATTTTTGTAGTGCAGCATCATGAAAACTTTTGGCGAGTAATTCATCTTTAAAACCTGTAGAACGAAATCGATCGATAACATATTGACAATCAGAACATGATGGTATATCCATTAATGGTACACAAATCATTGAAATGAACATTTCCAAAACATCTTCAAGATGTGTTTTCCGCACTGATAAAATATTGTAATCATGCACGTCAGTTGCTGTACCATTCAATTTTAAAAATGGTATATCGACGCAGTCATCTGTAAGAACAAAACACTTGGCATATACATTTCGGGACCTCAGAGATGAAGTAAACTAAAAAGAGGCTTTCATAACTGTTAATAGCCAATTATTCATTGCATTAAATTATATCTGGGCAGGAAAATTGTACCTATCGCGAGTGAACACGCAACCCATGTGGAAATTTTGATACCCTCCACGATGTGAACACGCGTGAAAATGTTTTGCAATATTTCGTGAAACAGTGGTTTGCACGAGTGAGCGCTAGTGCACAGGCAGAAGATACGTAGCAACAAAA